TTTTACCCCTATTATTTGGAACTCGTATAATTTGCCTCTCCCAATATATCAAATAATAATCTTATAAATATATATTATGTTTAACCAATAACGTAACATGTATTGTTTATGTTAATAGAAGAAAATATGAAATGTGAAGGACTAATTAAACAATAATAAAATTATTTAGGAGAATAATGTGGAAAAATCCAACGCAGATAACTAATAGGGACTATTAAAGAAATAAGTGGAATAAAGGCAACAGCGTTTTATTCCATTCAATTCTTTACCTACTCAACGGCAATAATTTGCAATGTTTAATCTTTTAAATAAAAAATAATTCAATACACTTAGGAATCATCAAATTATTTGTCGTTTATCGATTTTGATTTAAAATTAATATTATGATCAAATTGTAAACAATAAATTGTTTATTAATATTTTAATTTATAACTTTAATATATTATTTAAGATAATTAAATAAATATAAATTCTGAAGATAATTCACGTATAATTTCTAAAAATATCGATAAATATATACAAATTTACTTACCATATACAATAAATCCTTTTAGGTAATTATACTTGAAAAATATATGGTAAGTATCTGAAAAAAAGTATGGAAATTATCCTTGATGTATTACTGGATTTTAATTTAAATATAGGGAAGCGGGTGGGATAGTCGTATCCCTTAAAAATTTTAAATTATCATATATATATTTTATTGATAATTTTTTCTCTCCTAAAATTTTATAAATTTAGGCCCTAACATAAAATCATAGGTGTATTTCCATGTGATTAAATCTAGGATTTTAAATTACTATTACATAAAGTCCATAAAAATATGTGTTATTCCTTAAAACACCCCTTCCCCTTTCTCTTTTAACTTGTTACTCATGTCTTCGAAATAAATCTTTTAGATATGATGGTTACTCTTTCTAAAAAATAAATCTAGGATTTTAATATGAATGAAAGAAACAAACCAGTAAGTTATCTGAAACTAATCCTCAGCAATATCGATCTTGACAGGGGAAGCGTGGAAGGCAAGGAGCAGTCCATCCTAGGTTGTCATTTCATCCGCAACTTTATTACATTCACGAACAATGTATATGAGAATCAACTGCTAATCACGCATATTACCTTTCTATGAGATAAAATTTTAAAACTTTAATCAAATCCCTAAAAATAAATCCCCCTCCCCCGGATTTTGAAACCATTACCGCCGACCACCACAAATCCACCGTTGTTCGACTGCCATGATCGCCACAGTCGCCACCGACGGCTTCGACTTCACCTAACGAGCACAATCCCACCCGTCAGTTACCAGAATCGGTCGCCAATCATCGTAAATTTATAAAAGATCGTTCGAAACCCATTTTTCGATCTAGGCCACCATTCATCGGTAGACGTCACTGTCGGCACCAGTCGACGCACCATCTCTGCCCGATCAAACTCATGCTAACCACGCTCTGAGAACCGTCGTCGTCGACCGCGGAGAGCTCCGCGAAAGCTTCACTAGAAAACTTAAAACTCAAACGTTGTTTCCGTTATTTTCGGCCAAACCCGTCTTCCGTTTACTTCACTGTCTATGCCATTTGGTTCACCAGACAGTTTCGATCAAAACCCGTCCGGGTTCGTCGCTCCACTGTCGCTCGTTTACCGACTGCCATTTTGGTAAGCCTTTGATCCTTTTTCCAGTCATTTCTGATTGTTTCGACTTGATATCTGATATGTTATTGGTTGATTTTGGCGAGTGATTGAATGAGGAGTAATCGGTCATTCGAAACCAACCCTGTCGCCCCCGCACATGCCTCCGCAGCGCGTGGGACTTGTTAACCAATCGAAATTTCCAGAACCGATCCGAGTTAACTCAAACCGGACTGATTCAACTCGAACCGAACTGACTCAACTCGAACCGTTGACCCTCTGGATTGTTAACTTTGACCTCACCTTGGACCTGGTCATTGACCGTTGACTTTAACCTGGACCGCGTTGACAATTGACTTTGACCAAAAAGTCAAAATTTTGGAAAGTCATATTTTATTTTTTTTCAACATCCTGAGTCCGAATCCGAAGTCCATTTCACCAAATTGGAACCTGATAAGCTATTTTTTAACATGTTATCATCTTATTCGAATCGTTTCTAATGCAATTTCATTCGCCATGTATCGGAGATTTTTTGGGACGTCAAATTCAAGTTCAAGGGAGACCGAACGGAGTTTAAATGATCAATCGATATGACACAAAAATCGAGATAATCCTTTACTACCATATGTATACTTTACGGTACATGTTGGTAACTAATTTATTCATGAATTAAAATGTTTGGTCTAGTAGATCCCAATGAATATTCTTAAATTTGTACTGAATACATTATAAAGACAGTAAATTGATTAAGATTCGATTAGCTCGTGTAAGGAACTAGAAGACTAATAAGAAGTAATTTCAAGTTCAGTGATTAATTGGTAATTTTATTAGCCTCAGAATCCTTAAAATTCCGATTATTCTCATGGAAAGTATTAATGCTAGAAAATGCTTGGATAGAAAATTATGAAAATATCCTTATGATGTAGAAAGACAAGAATTGTGCCCATAAGTGGAATTAATCCTTGAAAGCTATACTTGACCCGATTAAACTACTAAATGCACAAGTTAAGTGCTTGTTTTGTTTAGAAACATCCAGGTGAATGATTATGATCTCCGAAATAGAAAAGGACTTAGAATTTCGAATCTTGAGTAAACACCAGAAGACAAATTACTAGAAGTAATGCATATGACGAAAATTGAATGAAATGACTAAAATGCCTTGAAATGAAAAAGAGACTCGGATCTCCCCTGACATTGGAAATGACCTAGGAATCCATTCTCGACTTGATAGAACTACAAAATCATCGATTAAATTCATGATATGAATGGAAAAATTTTTGGTAATTGATTCCTAGCTTTCGAGATTGCAACTTACTGGGATATTCCGATTTCAGATTAATTATCTGAAAACATATTTATTGGAAGTACTATATGTATATAAACTATTTGAATGGTCAAAATGCCCTTGGACCCCAAAATGACCTAAATACCCTTATGACCTAGAATTAGTGGATGACATTGGATGAATTCTCGAAACACCGGTAAACCTAAGTGTTGTACCGCCTCCTTAAGGTTGAAGCACAACCCAAGCATGTAGGACATTGTGTAATACTTCTGCAATACAAAAATCAAATAAATACCATCGGAATACCTATTCGTCTCATCAAGACCCGATCAAGGATGATTTTAAAGGTGACAAGTTCAACTAGTACAATCAACATTAAGAGGTGAATATTTGTGAAATATCACAATTTTTATGATTGGCTAGTATAGTAATGCTGGGAACTGTTTAGTTCGATTTGACTTGGAGTCTTGATAACTAGATATAAATCATGAATACTACAAAATACCGTTTTGCCCTTATTGAATTAACGTACTAAGAATTCTTCAAGATTCAAAATATCTAAATTGCCCTTGATAGTTTGAATAATGGAGTCACACTTGTGATATGTGAAGTTAAAATAATTCTAATGTAAAAGTTCCTGAATACCTTTATGACACAATAAAATTCTAAATGGCCCCAAAATATCTGATTAGAGATATTAGTAATCAAACCCTTCTTATAGGATCATGTTCCGAAATCCAATCAACTTATAAAAGCTCGTGTTTCCCTCTATGATAATTACTACGTGCCTCTGGAAAATATTTGAATCCTCTAGTGTGTTCCTTATGCACATGGATATTTTCTCTGTTTTTAAAAGTATGACTATGACATCTGAAATAAAAGTCTGATCTCTGATCTCTGTTTTCTAATATAAAAAATATCTGGCTCCTGATCTCTTACACTACTGGTACTGTCTGAAACTTTTTTACTTAGGTATTTTCGGTAGGTGTCTGGAGTTCTGAGGTTCAGCTGGTTGGTAAATCCTTTCGGTTTTGATCATTTTTATTGGACTCCTATACCCATCGGGTACAAGGTAAGTCTTTATAAATGCATTTCTAGGGAACTGTATTTTGGTGTATTGGTGGAGGGTATTACCGAGTTTTCAAAAAAACATGTTTTACTAAAATAAATCATTATTTCTTGTTTTTTTAGAACATACTAGACTCTGAACTCCATCTTCTAAATCTGTCTCTCTGAACATTTCCTCTGAACTATAAGCTTCATAACTGTTACCTGAAGAACTAATTAGTAACCTCAACTCATCGTTATGACATGTATATTCCTCGATAACTAAGAAAATCTTCATGTTGCATCATATATCTGCTTGGCCTTTAGCATCTGCTGGTAGTATTGTATTGTTGAGCTTTCCCAAAGCTCACTCTGTCACTCACTATTTCAGGTTAAAGGAATTGATCATGTGTAGAATCGTAATCAGTAATGAGAGTTCTCTCGGTGTTGCTCGTGTGTACAATACCCATATAATTAGGGGGCATGTATGTCATATTTATTTTTTTATACTGAGTTTGAAACTTGTACGATTATTAAAATTTCAAATTTTAATATTTGAATGATTTTTTTATTTTATTTATAAAGTTGTTTTTATGATTTTACATGTTTTTCTAAAAATTTAAATTTTCCCATCTTTTTAGTGTTGGTCGTTCTAGTAGCCCTAATGTAACACCTCGAATATAATCAGGTCACCCGTATTAATCTGAGGATGTTACAGCAAATTAGGCGTACGGATTAATTTAATGATAGTACACCACACTACACTATTATCATCTTGTCAATGCTATTTGTTAGAGGAAAAATAACGGCCAACAATATTTAAGATTCTGGCATAGTTATCATTAGGGTTGAGAATTTATCGAATTGTGTGCAAATAAATTGAGTTAACCCAAGTTTACGGGAATATTTCATCGTTCAAACTTTATTTACAAAATTTTTGAATTTAATTGAGTTTATGAAATTCGAATAAAATTTTGCGGTCATCAATATTTTCAATATCAACATAATTGATCTCGCCGTCCATCCAAATAAAACCTCGTAAAAACAAACTATATTCTATTTCATATTGTTGTAAATTTGTAATCAAAGCATTATGTTCTTGATGGCTGCATAAGATATGAAGCCATATTTTCCACAACGAAATCACATATGAAAAAGAAAGAGCGAAAAAATCTAAGAACAAACTTCCCGACCTCGTAAAAACAACAGGCTGGGGGAAACAAATATGAATCTATATAGTGTAGTCGACTTTTCAGGTTGTTTCGGACCAAACAATTCCGCAATACGGTACTTACCGACGCGACGTAGAAATGTCCGAAAGACAAAGCATGCTGTGTTATTGACTCCGTTGTCGGCTATATGAACCTACATTTCATTCTGAGGTCCGTGTTATTCACTACCAAGAAAAAAGAATAGCTAAAAGAAACGCCGCGATACAATTCATCTCTCACAAAAATGACAAAAAGAATTCCGATCTTCCGGATCAAAATCTGTGCATGTCAGAGAGCCCTGAATGAAGAGCGTCGAGCCCTCTCATGCTTCAATTTTTGGGTGTTATCGATGTTTATGGGTTTCAATAGTCGTTCTGCTTCTAGTTCAGACTGAAGAGAAGGCTGCAGCCTCCTTAAGTGCCCTTTGCACTGTTTATGGCCGGACCAAACGTTGCTGCCGCTAATATTGTGTTCAATAGGAGCAATCTGTCGCTGGTATGGTGATTGCCACTTTGCCTGCAAATAAGCAAGAGATCTCCATGGAGGGAACGGCATTGAGTTCTGCTTGAGAGACGACCGAGCAGCTTCAACCATAAGTTGAAGCAACTGTTTCAACCGAATCCAGGAGCCAACATAGACAACCGGTAGTGAATTCAATATTTGATCGTAAGAATCAACTGCTCTAGCTATCTCAAAATGGCTTCGGAAGTCTATATCGATAATCAATCGCTCAGAATTCCCGTTGTTGTAATTGACCACATCAATATACTCATGATCACCTGCACATATATGTCACAAACTGGTTTTCTCACTATACTTTTACATCTGAGCGGAAAAAAATTGTCATGAATCGTAGGTTTTTAGACTAATCAAACAGAATACAGTAACCGAATTTCATCATGAATGGTACGGATGAACTCTCTGATACGGGAAACAAAGATAGAGATGCAGCAGAATACAGATTTTCTACAACAAACTCTCATAAAACTTACGAGTACACAACATATTCTATCCTATAGGAAACAAAAAATTAGAGTACCAACTGATCCAGAAAAAATACAATGTATATATGCATACGAGTCATTTAGATTACACCGACTGAAATCACTTCTGATTTTGCAGGTAATTTGTCATGATCCGCACGATTCTTTTTTAGGGTCTTGTGGATATGACGTGTGCTAGATTTGAATCAAACTATATTCAGAATTAACAGATTTCAAAGACGTGGTATTTCAAAAAAAGAAATACCGCGGTATATTATAGTCACTCTGATTAAAGTTGATGAGAAGAAGCCATGAGCTAAAGAAATGTTAAGGACGAATAAGTCTATTTGGTTGTTATATTTCAACCTACAAGGTCAGATTATTTAGACTAATTATCTTTTTATTCGTGTTTGTTGCCGCATGAAAATTGTTCATTCTAATTATTATATGCTTATGGATTAGAAAATAATAATCATAAATTGTTACAAGACCTTTATATGAATGATTGAAAAGTAGTGTGATAGAGTGAGAGTGCATGTCTAGGATTGGTTTTGGGAAAGACTTGGCATTTAAACGTGCCTAGTGCGCCATGTATAATTTTGGATTCGGAGGCTATTTCCATACCTCCAGGAACTTTGCCACTACGCTGCCACCTCGATACACAAACAGCCGCATCATAGCCAGAAAGCCTCAACAGCTTTACCAGATAATATCTGATGCAACTGGCATTACACGGACCCGACTTCACATAGTGTAGGTGCGTCTCGACCATCGATAATATAAGCGAATGAACCACAGACAATAAGTCCAAGTCATACTGACACACCGAGTGCTTATGGTACTGTAACACAACAGAACAAAACAAAAGAGAATTAGATGCCAATAAGCAAATGCTTTTGGTAGGAAAATAAGAGGTTACTTAAAAGTATAAAGAATCACAAAACTCCCATGCTTATAGATTCAAAACCAAATACTCTGAACTATATCAAATATCTCGGAGCTTGTATTTCGAACTAAAGAAAGGGTGGGAGCAGGTCGTGCCCCTAAAATTTTTCGATCTAATGGCAATTTAGGTCCTATAAGTTTAAATATTAGACAAATTAGCCGATGCCCCCTCCCCCAAATTTTGAGTTTAAATAATTAACAAGCTCTTGTATTTTTGAAGTTTAGTAATTCAGCCCCTCCCGATGTTCGATCTTGTCTGCATCCCTGGTTGGTATCCAAAATTTGTTCATACAATATATCCTGGCTAAAATATCATTTATCATTTATTCTAATGAAGAGAGGCAAATCACAATAAGCATATCTGAATCAGGGATTGACTGAGGTCAGGAAATTTTAAATTCCCTTATAGTTTAATTATTTTCTTTATATTTTCCACTGGTAATCTAATTTAGCATCTACTAAAATTTTGTAATTCAGCACCACCTCTAAATTTCTAATTTAAGTTTCTCAATTCGCAAACCTTTAACAGAAAATCCTGTATCCGTCCATGATCCGAATTATGAACAATAGCCGTACATAGGATTTCTAATGAATTGACATACTCTTCAATCTCCAAACAGATGAAGATGGAATTCATTTCCCTCAATCTCAAAAAGGTGAATTCAAAGAACCCATCATATTCAAATTTGCAACCTAGATAACGTAAATTTCCTTAGCATATTCAGACTTATGGGGAAAAAATAACAACAAAATTCATTATGAAACATATAGAAATAATAATAAATAAAAAAACAAAAAAGGAAACAATTATTCTCAAAGGGGAAATGGATAAATACTAACGGAGATTTTATCAGAGAGGCTGATGAGATCGGATAAACCGGAGTCGGTATCGCTGCTACACCAAGAATCGGCGCCGGCGCTACCCCCGTTGTTTTCCAAGAAATCACTGACCATCAAAGCCAAATCATGTTCGCTTTCGTTGTTAAACCCCCACAAACTATTGTTATTAGAATTTCCTTTCTTGTTCTGATGATCCCCCGCGGATATCCATAAGCCGCACTCCATCATCGTTAGCCAAAACAACTCCGCCGTCTTAGCCGCCTCCGTCCGATCGCAAATTTCCCCGTTCCCTTCTTACAATTTCAACACCAACCACCGAAAAAAAACCCAGTAGGGGGCCGTCCGCGTAATTTAGAATGAGAATCAGAGGCTATTTTTTGGGGGTAAAGCAGAGAAAAACGAGAAAAGAAAGTGAAGGGGGAAACTGCGAGCGAAATTCCACGGTGACGAAGAGCTTTTTATTTTTAATGGTGGAGATGTGAAATGGCGAAAATGGGCTTGAAATCTTTTCGTTGTTATAGACGTGAAGTTGGTTTTTTTTTTTTCATTACAGATAATTTTTTTGTTGGATAAATAACATTATTACTGTTAGTTAAATTTGTTTTATTTGTAGTAATGTTTTTATATTATTTGATCATTATTAGATTAAATAAAATAGATTAATCATTGATATTTGATTTATTGACCGTTTAATTTAAATTGAATAATATATATATTTTCTATAGGACGAGTGACAACCCTTCTAACTAAGTTTATTTCATTCACGACATTAAAATTCGAAGTATTAATCATGCTTAAGAGATTTAGTGTTTATTTCATTAAACCAATTGAATATTATTTATTTAAATAAAATTTTAATATAATAGAAGAAATAGCAACCTACTTAATATAATTAATTTTAGGAAAATGGTTTTTAAGACATTTCATAATTGTAAAACATGTATTATATTCTAAATAAGGTTCAAAACGTTTTTCTGTTGAATAGAGGACGTAACAGAGGGTAGGTTCATTAAAATTTCCTGTTAGTTTTTTTTTTTGGGTTACGGTTTTATGGGTAAATATAAATTTTGGTACCTAACTTAGGAATTGCAATGCGGTACCTTTTTTTGTACAATTAGATACTTACTTTTCTTAATGATGCATTTAAGTACCTATTTTTTGGTGCAATTAAATACCCAACATTTTTTTTGGGTACAGTTTAACATATTTTTAAATTAAAATGTTCATATTTGAAATTTTAACACCTAACTTTTGAATCTGTAAAATATATTTTCTCTTTAACTAAACATAGGGGCGGAGTCAAAAAATTTAAATTATGATTTGAAAAACTAAAACGTCTAAATAAATTCATATGCATTAATGTATAATATTAATATCCTATAAACTAATGTATAGTATGGATGAAATATGGATGTAAATAAGCATAACGTTCAATGAATATTTAGTGAATCGTTCGTACAACATTCGTTTATTAAGTTAAACTAACAAGTATAAGCAAAACTTTTATATTTATTTAATAAATAAATGAACATGAACAAAGTGGTGTTTGATTCGATTATGTTCACAAACAAATACATTTATTAACTTGTTTACATGCTCGTTTATTTATTAATGATATTTTCTTATAAAATATTAAAATAATATCATCCTCTATTTTATTAGAATTTTAACTCATTAATCTAGATGTATGTACTTATATCAATGTAAGTATGTATTTATTTTTATATATCAAATGTATGAGTATATATATTTCTACTTTCCATTTCTAAAATTATTTTTGATCATCCATCTATCTAATATTTATATTACATTTTTAATAAAAAAAATAAAGTTTTTATAATAGGATTATCTTTGTGAGATAATTTTATATTTTAACTAGTATATTTTATAACAAATGTCCATTTATGGGATAATTCTCACGCCAAATTTACTTTATTCATAATGTCAGAGATCTAATGTCTCATTTTAACTTTATCTATTTAAAAGATGTAATGTCTCATTTTACTATATAAACTGATTATTTATAAAAAAAAAATTTCGACTAAAAATAAAGAAAAAGTTTCATTTTTAATGGGAAAAAAGGATTTATCGTTTTCTTTTATAAATAATGTTAGGTGAACAAATACATTAATCACATTCTTTGTGTGAAAATCATAAATACTTTAAGGGGTGAAAAAGAGAGCAATTTAATGCACCTAACTTCACATGACCAATTATGACTCATGTATGAGTTTATAGCTAAATATGTTCACAAAATTAGGCAACTTATTAGGTCAAGCAGTTTGACCTAATTCAACTTAGGCATTGATAGGGGGGGGGGGAAATCAAATTTATTTATATTAGTAAAAGGACTAAAATAAAAATAAGAGGAACCAAGTGAAGAAACCATCCCTTTCATCAAAATCAAACGTACAACCTCCTGGCGCCTGCATAGAATTTATTTATATTTTATCAAAAAATATTAATTACATATTATGTCATGTTGAATTATGTTTTATTTCATGTTTTAATTATTATATTATAAGTATCATGATCAACATCATCAAATTTATCAAATAATTTGTAATTAAGTATTAGTCATTGGTAGTAAGTTTTTTTTCTTAATATGATAACTAAACTATTTATTTTGTATTCTATTTGTAAACCATAAAATTATTTAGGATCGAACTCATACCTTTTTAAATATTACAAATAACAAATATATTAATTGAAATATTCATTGATTGATTGAGTGATTAAAAATGTTCATATTATCTTATTTTATGAGTTTAAATTTAATATTTATCTTGAAAGTATAAAAAAATCTTAATAAAAAAATAAATAGATCAATTAAATTAATAATCAAATCAATTACTAATAATAAATTTAATGTTTGAACTTTGATCTTACCTGGGCAAGCCTTGTAATAAATAATTGTGACTGATGAAACATGATTCCACCACCGCAAAAGAATGAAGAAAACAAAACAGCCATTTTGCAAACTCTCATTTATTATTAGGAAAGTTGTACCTCAATATCGTTAATTTATAAAAAAAAAATTAAAATTTTAAAGGACTTAACGTATAATTATAAATTTAATTAAAAATCTAAAGGTAAATTATTTAAACGATGATTGATTTAGATTTTTTTAATTTAGGGATTCATATTGATCCAATTATTTTTAAAAAAGATTATGAAAAATAATGTAATTAATATTTTATTTTAAATGATTTACCTTTAAAATTTTAATTAATTTATAATTATAAATTGAATCATTTCAAATTTTAATTTTTTATAAATCAAATTATTAATACTCAACGATATTTATCTTCAATAATGCTCAACTATAATCGTCGAAACATGACAGACTCTTATTATATTACATTGTATAGCTTTAATGATTGATTATAAGCTGCAGGCATGGCTTGTATGGAATACCCCCAACATGTTGTATCTCATCTAATGGAAATCTAATTATTGCATAAAAGGTAGACCTTCTCAACAACAATAAATTGCAATGCCAGCGAATGTCTGGTACAAACTGTTAACATGTATGATTCGAATTTAAAATTTTATGATATGATATGATTGATAAAAGATCATTTAAATATATAGTGGAAGCCCGATGACATAATCCGTCATTGATTTTTATCCGGATGTGAGGGTAGAATCACACAATACAATGCAATTTAATTAAATTAGAACTTATGTATCCGTACAAGTATACGCTAGAAATAACGCACACATGATAGGAAGAGAAATGAATTATCAAAAGGGCAAGTAACAATTTTACTTTGTTGAATCCGTACATAACTTCCGTGGCTAAGATTTTGAAACACAAACAAGCTGAGCTTCTGACACTGCCTCAAACTCACTCCAGCACAATCAACAAACCTAATCATGTTAAGATTCATTTCTTTAATTTAATATTTTGGTTTTGTTTTCCTAGGAAGTTGTGGATGAGCTCATATTCTATTTAATCTTATAAAACATGTAGGGATGAGCCGGTTTTTTTTTTTTTAATTTTAAAATATTTAGCTTATTAATTAGCCTTAGATAAAAGAGAATATTGTTGTTCTAAATTTTTTTAAATTTGAACATTTATATTTGTAGAGTGTGTTGTCAAATGATTAATAAACTCTAAACAAATACTATCTTATCCTATAATCATCCTAGACTATTCAAAAAAATTGAAAGTTTTCATCTAATAATTATTTTAGTCAAAATTTAGTCATGTTTCATTAGAATAATATATACATAACAACATTATAATAATTACCTTAAATATATATAGATAGTATTATACCATTTAATATGGGTTGGGTCAAGAAATTTTTACCACTCTATTCTAAGGTCAATTCTCTTTTTCACAAAATACATTCCAATTTAACTGAATGTGAATTTAAAAAAAAAATGACCCTTATAAAATTAAATCAGATTAAAACCAGCTAGATACAAGTAATTTGACCCTCCTAAGAACATGAGATACTTTTCTAGTTGGCTTCTCGGGAATATCCACACCTTTGTCTTGGGGTCTCCAATCTTTTTTTCCTAAACACAGATGGGGATTATCTTTTATGACTTATTGCACAAAGAGAGACATTTGGCGCAATGGATGTGATGGAGACAAGGAATATGCCTTGGGACCATTCCTATGGGTAGGGATTCAACTTTATTTTATACATCAAACAGCTCGCCATACTAATAGCAGTACTATTAAATTAAATGTGAAAAAGGAATAACTACTCTAGTTTTCAATATGAAAAGCAGATGCCTATCCAAAACATGAACAGCCTAGACAACAGCACAAATGCACAATCACGGACATCCAAATTGCAATTCTATCAACAAATTGGTTGCATGTGTAAGTACACTATATTGTGCATTTGTCCCTGTTGTTACTAAAATGTGGGTCACGAGGACTTTAAACAATCCATCCTTTTGATTATAGCGAAGAATCAATGATCTTAGTTGAAAACGATGATGAATGATACTAGGCTGAAAGAGCAAAAGAGGATTTCAAAATCCCTTCCCCAAAAGGATATGAAATTCTCAAGGCTTCGATCAACAAAAGATTTCTCCAAAGACGTCGATAGGCAGAAGAGTGATTGCGGAAGAGTATCTCCGGAGGTATAGTTATCCCTATGCTATATTTTCTTTCCTCCTTAAACCAAATCAAACATCCAATCTCTAGGGTATGAGATATTCAACTCTTACGTATTGTCTCATCACATGCAACAGTCCATTAACATCAAGCACAGGCACAAAGGTTACACATAATAGAAGTGATCGCATGGGTTTAGGACACTGATGAGGTGTTCAACAACTTTGTGAGAATATAACAACTTCAGTGACTTACAATAGGTTAACAGCTTTACTAACAAAGGTTCAAACCAAGTAGGATTCTCCGAAAAAAGTGTCTCTAGGAGAACAGAAGTACCTTCAGAGGCAGGCTGAAGTTTCCATTTTCGATACAGTTAATGAATCAAAAATGAAAATGATTTGTTATCTCCTCAGTGGCCGCTGCAAAGCAAAAGAAGAACAGTTAGAAACTATCTGGAGACTCGTTGCCATTTTTAGACATTTCTTCATAATAAAACAAAAATTCAGTAGGAAAAGAATGAAAAATCATTCCAAAAAATATTTGCAGACCACTGATCATAACACCATCCATTTCATGTTTAACCTTCAGATAAGACACGGACAAATAACAAACAAGAACGTACTCGTGGCTCATTATTAGCTACTCGGGTCTGTTGGCTGGATGCTCTGTCTACATCTGGTATTTTCTCTGGATTATCATGCTTATAGAATGCCTGCAAGGCCCTCCCCACAAATGGACGAATTATATTCACTTCCATTGCAGATAAATTTGGAATCTGGCCAATTAAAAGATATTAGAGGCAAGATACAAGGGGAAATCCAGTTTATCTGAATCATATTAGGAGAAACATAATTTAGCAATAATGTGCCTAAAACTCAGCGATAATAAATGCCAACAATTCACAATGGAAGGAAAAAGAAACCATACTTTCACTGCAGATGTCCCACTGAACTTTTCCAAGCTAGTCTCAACTTTATGAATACGTACATCCCTTATGTCCTCAATAAGGGATCTCACCTGTAGAGTGGATTCATGAAGAATCAAATGACAGTAAAAACCAGGATTACAAGAATCCTCCAACTCACCATATACATGTCAGGAATGTCATCACGTGCACTACCATCCACAAAAAAGCAAAGTATTAAAGCCTTCATACTGTTAAACTGTACAATAGAAAGAAACATGTCAAGCAGAACTTACTGATCAAAGAGAAGTCTAGATATCTCCACATAATGAAATGGAAGCACCTGAAATGAGCCTTGAGATTCCCGTTCTCCTTCCAAAACCCGTGTCAAATTTTCTAGTTCACAAAAAAAAATTCAGAAGAAACTTTAAAACATATTCATATTCTAAACTCAACTTCTAGGTCCCTATTCAATCAATACATGTTCCCCAGGCAATGAAGGTCAAAAAAAACATCATGATGAATGGACATTTCTAGATACAAACATGTGCCTTCTCCGTTTGATGTTAAAGTATAGTAAAAATGCTTGAAAATGTTGGCTCATTAGTAATGCACAAAAGGCAACTGGGACAAACTAAACACCTATGCTCACAAGCTACTCAAGTATGACTAAAATTCGGTCCAATCTTAGTCAATTTCAAACTCGAACAACTTGAGCTGTTGAGTGTTCTGAACTTGACAACTCTAATGCTGGGCTCGAGTAAATCAGGAAACTATTAGAAGCCCCTTTTTTTGTTTTTATCAATATCCAAAAATTTCAAATCGGACTAGAACTCAAACTAGAATACAAAGAATTGAACTTGAAGTCAGACATGAGAATCAAGCTAAACTTTTACTAGGTGAATGAAACTAGTCAAACAAGATTAAACAGTTTGATATTTATATCAAATCATGCTTAAACTTTAAAAGTGAAACTTTATCGGACTCGAGCCAAGCTTTGATGGTCCAATTTCAAGTCAGTCTCAAACTTCCTACAACTTGAGCACGGGAAAAACCAAGTTACCAGATTAAGCTGGGAAACATTTCAGACAGTCAATCATTTAACTTAATTGGTTGTCAAATTTTGTCATTAGGGAAAAACAAAACAAACCATAAGTAAAATCCACAACCCTTTTCCTATTTGAACGGACAGATGAGGTATTCGAGAAAAATAGCACCAAATCAAGAGTCGTCACTCAGAAACCAGTCTGATTAAACTTCAATGTAAAAAATATATCGAATAAAGAAGAGGAAGGTGACTCACCAACTGACATCCACTGAGGAGGCCGAATCGCGCATCTTCCTCTCTTCTTTAAAGCCACTGCGAGCCACAACGGCACCTGAGTTGGTATTTGCGGTAAAAATGGACCAAAATCACCCTGTCATTTTATCCAAAACCAAAAATAAAAACAAAAATAAACCAAATTACCCTTTAAAAAGGAAGAAGAAGAAGAAGAAATGATAGGTCAAACGGAATTGAAGATTACGCAAATGAAATTCAGAGGAGCCATTCGCATATTTGGCACAATCTCTATCAGTTCATCTTCAGCCATAAACTCCACCTAATTAGACCAGCAAAAAAACCAAAAGATTAGATAAAATCAATTTACGGGTATAGAGGAACAACGAGAAAGGGAAGGCAACCTCTTCGGCTGAGAAGAGAGAGATATGAGGTTCAGATTGTCCAGCCATATCTGAGAATCTAGTGTTTTCTAATTCAGAAATTGGACAGATTGGACAACAATTTTGAATTCAGAGATTCAGAGAAACCGAAAGAAGATGAAACCCTGAGTTGTGCCCGCCAGACTAAAGATACTGAGTTTGAATCGCTGCATACGGAAACCCTATATAACTATTTCTTCTTTTTTGGCGGGAATTTACGCACATATCACAACGCGGCAAAAAAAATCAAAATATTTCATTGAGGAAAATAAAAAATAACCCCTCAATTTTTTAAAAAAAAGTTAAATTCTTTAATTTTTTTACTTAATTAATTATTTAAATTATAAATTTTTATTACTAACAAAATTTATTATTCACCGTTTTAAGAAAAGTTCACTTATCCCATTAGAATTGTTATACCATGCGACGTGTCAATAAACTTATTTAATAAAAAAAACAATCCAAAATATCATAAAAATTTATAACTCACGTATTTAACTTTAATTTTAATTTCAATTATATCATCGAAATTAATAATAATATGAGTGACAATTGTATATGTCAATATAAAACAACTCATTTCGATGTAATTATTTTGATCACATTTTCTTTTGAGAAAAATTAAAGAAAAATATGAAATACGCTGAGATTTCAAACTAGAGATGGGAATAAATAATACTGAACATTTCTGATTAAGTTAACAATCAGTGATTAACACTCTAACATATGTTCCTAAGCACAGTGAAAAACAATTCAACGAGCCAAACGTCAACAGTTTTATACAATTACCACATACTAGTTAGTTAGTGCTCCTAATCAGAAGAAAACATTCGATTTTATCAATCATCTTCCTCAAAATCCGAATCCTCGGTAGCCTCCTCCTCCGTCTCTGAATCGCTAACAACATAAGTCGTCTTCGCCCTGTTAGCCCTTTGAGGCCTGTTCCTCGGTTCCACAACCACAGCCACTTCATCTTATTCATCACTGTCGATTTCCGCCATCGGAGACAGCGAAGAACCGTTCGCCTTGCCCAAGACGGAACCGCTCTTCTTGTTAGACGGCAACGCCTTCATTTTCCTCACTTTCTTCTCCGGCGATATCCCCGAACTTTCTGCGGGCTTCAGCATTTGAGTTAGAAGTTTTTGTTGTTGCTTGCCTGCTTCTGCAGCCGGGGCTCGCTTCCTTGCTGCCGCGGCAGGTAGCTTACCGGCTTTTGAATTCGCGGCAGGTTTACGTCCACCTTTCTTGGCTGGTGCTGCGGCAACCTCCACATCTTCGTCACCGATATTGATTTCACCTATGCTTTCGGAGATCTTTGCAGCAGCTGCCCTTTTACTCTGTCCTTTCTTTCCAACTGATTCTTGAACCACTTCACTCTCCATATCTGTAAAATATTATCATCATTATCTTTCTCTCAAAGTAGCTTATAAAGTCGTTAAATTAGATCCACAATAACTATTTACAATTAAATTTGAACAAAAATCCAACTCAATTCGACTTGACTCGAATTTTACTCCCCTAGCTGTTACATTATTCAGAATATGAAAATTCAGATTGAAATATAATTCAATCCGCAAGTTAAGAATAAAACAAACCTGCAGAATGTTCGGGAGAGGAATCGATATTATGCTTGGCTAGACGCTCTCTTAGATCAGTAATATCAAAGTCTTGGTCATCGTCAACGCTTTCATCCTGTGAATAAACATGGAAGTAACAAAAACTCATCAGTTGATAGACCAAGCATGAGAAAGAGAATATAATACATATACATATATACGATTGTGTTGTTTAAAATGATATGAAAACAAGAACCAGACCTTAGCTTTCTTTGCACCACCTCGGGCTTTGGGTTTCACAACAGCAGCAGGAACATTTTCTGGTTGAACCAAGTGGAAGAAATCATTATCAATTTTCAAATCTCATAAACTATTTCTCATACCAACATCACACATGAATGTCAAACCTGTTTCCATTGAACTGGGTGAAATATCTGAGGCTGCTGTAACAGCTTGGTCTTTCTTTTTTGTCTTCCTTGGGATTTTAGATGCTTGTCTCCCAGCAGCCTTCTTCCCTGCTCCATTCTTTTCTCGGTCGTTACCGTGCTGTTTTTCGGCTTCCTTATCAGCTTTATCTTGCTCCTGATTACACAAAACAGAATGTATCATGTTCAGGAGAACATTTGATTTTTTAAAAAAAAAACTATGTCAGGGTCCATACATCTAGCCTTTTCTCAAGTTCATCTAGGTCTTTCAGCCATAAAGACTTTGGAGTCGATGACCTCCAATATTCAACCTCGTGCTCGAGTTTATCTTTATCAGAAACAAGTTCGCGGACCTTCTCTATGGTCAAAGTACCAATTGTCATCGACAACAAATAGTCATAATCACTCTCAACAACTGCTGCAGGGCTAAACTCAGAGTTCTCCTCAGGCTCCTCCCTCTCGATATCCCCAGCCACGGATATTTCCTCCATTTTCTTGTTCTTTGGGAAAGGAGTAAAACCTTTCTCTTTCAGCTCAAGGAATAGATCAGCTCTCTTCCTATTGTTCACAATGATGTCCCCCTTTACCACATCAAGAATAAACCTAACTTTGTTATCCATTTTCAGCAACTCCAGTTCAAGAGTGTCCAACACATGTTTCTGCAGCAAATGATGAGTTTTTTTAATCAATATCAATTTAGATATTACACTAAACTAAAAAAAAAAAAAAAAGCTCTAGTGACCTTACCCTACGTTTGCCGTAAAAATCAAGCCTCGAGTGAAAAAATTCCTCAAGGACTGCATTTGACAAAAATTAAGGTCAATGTTGCAACATTTTAAACATTATTATTACTTAAAAAACAAGGCATATTTTAGCACATACTTTCCTCCGGGGTGTCATATTTCTTAATCACCCCTCTTGAATCAAACAAGTGCATGTTACTTGTGCTAATTGTTGTTGTTAGCTTAAACTGCTTCAGCAACCCCTCTTGCTTGGCCAACATCATGTTCTCCACGGTCATGACGACCTCAATGTCAACAGTTTTATCATCACTGAATTGTTTAAATTCCTACAAGCCACAAAACTTTATGAGTAAAAGTTATAAAGAAAAATTAATAAATAGAAACTGTCATTTGTAAGTAACAGAAACTACCTTGATGAATGAATCGTTTGAGGTTATGATAGATTCCAAAAATTCCTTGTAATCTTGAGTCCATCGACGTATTGGAAGTTCCTTTATTTTAAGTGTGGTCTCATTAACCTCCTCTATTGTTCCAGTTATAGTGTAGGTGACCCCAGATTCCTTTGATGCAGTTTGCTCAATAGTCCCTTTGAAACCTCGGTACCATGGATGCATTGGCTCCATTTGTTCAGCATCCAGCAAGCGCCTAACATTTTCCACTATATCTCTTGGATTGTAGTTTGGAATGTAAGAGCTCCACCCTGTTCCAATTCCTTCACTTCCATTGACGAGAACCATTGGTATGATAGGTACATACCTAAAAGTACAGAAGGCATTAATTTTACGCATATGAAGTTCCGATGCAAAGTATCTAGTTACTTTGATGTTGAATTTACCAGGAAGGCTCATTGGATTGACCATCTTCATTCAAGTAATCGAGCAGGCCATCATCTTCCCTAGGGAACAGGTATCGAGTAATGGAAGAAAGACTGGTAAATATGTACCTAGCACTTGCAGCATCTTTGCCACCCTGTGAAAGCAACGGACTTTGTATTAGTGAGGAAAATAGTAAAGATATTGAAGTGATAGACAGAATTGATACAGTTGTCACAACCAAGATGAACATCTACCAACCTGGTTACGAGTACCAAATTGACCATTTGGACGAAGAAGGTTGATGTTGTTACTACCCACAAAATCTTGAGCCATTCCAATAATGGTACTCATAAGACTCTGTTCGCCATGATGATAAGCAGAATGCTCGGAAACATACCTGAAAATTGAGAAACCTTTGCCTCTTTTACAAAATTTCTCTTAAAGGCACAGAAAAGGATTTTCCTCTGACCAGGCTTCAGGCCATCAACCATGGAAGGAATCGACCTTTGAAGATCAGCTATGGAAAACAAAATAAGTTCCTTATTAATAAAGTCACTATAATTGACAAGCTTTTCATTGTGATCAAGGTGCGTGCCAGGCTGCAATAAAAAAATGTAAGAAAATTTCATCAAGAGGCTAACAATTTAAGTTCTCTAATCTCTAGAATAATTGCATTTAAAGTTAGCATAAACTAGAAATAAGTAAGACCTCAAACTGTCGCAACCAATTCTTCCTTGCTTCAATCTTCTTCTTACTAAATGCAAGCTCTATGGAATCTCCATCCTGGTCACCTTTCCATACAAATTCTTTCTTGTGCTTATCAATATCTTTAAAGTAATCCTTCCCTTCAGCTGCTGTGCTAGTTCCCAACCCCTACAACAAAATGTTCATGTTAGGAAAGAAAGGCTACAAAACCCGAAACCAGAAGACAGAGGAAATCAGTCCTGCTTAAGCCATGAACCTTGTAGTACTTAATGGTCCAGCCCTTTGTGTTACCACCCAAACTTTCCTTCCAAGATTGGTACTCAGGCATTGAATAAAACGGTATCTCTTCCTTCACCTTGTTGACCATGCGAGAAGCCTGTACAAAAAAAAAGCATCAATAACAAAAAGGCTTGCATCAAGTTATTCAATGTATAAATTCTAGCCAGTATTACCTTCACAATAGGAGTTATAAACTCAACCATGAATGATTTTACTTTTAGCAGTGATGGCCAAAAGGAATGAATAAAATTGATCAGCAAACCCTTAATATGGGAACCATCATGATCCTGTGGAACAAGCATGGTGGTCAGTCACTAGCATAAAGACGAGCAATGACAGTATGTAAGAAGCAAATTCCATGAGAAAACTGCTTCGGCAGCACTAAACCTGATCAGTCATTATCATCAAATGCCCATATCTCAAGGATTTTACATCTGTATACTCCTTGTTCTGCTGGAGTCCAAGAATCCGCTTAAGATTCTGTATTTCAGCATTTTCCATTAACTGCTTATGGCTGGCTTCCCTCACATTGAGAAGTTTACCTCTCAAGGGGTAGACACCATAGTGGTTTCGACCTACAACAGAGAGCCCAGCCAACTGCAAAAAGTAAACACTGTTACTGACATAAATATTCACATAGTTACATCACATCAAAGTAGAAAACTCAGTTCTTATAAAAAAAAGTAGAAAACTCAGAACTTACTGCAAGAGATTTTGCCGAATCCCCTTCAGTCAAAATCAATGTGCATTTTTCAGAATTCCTTCCTCCAGCATCATTGGCGTCATCTAGCTTGGGGATCCCACGAATACTTCCTGACTTGGCTCCATCGGTCTTCTTAAGATCTTTGCTATGCTTGAATTCTGCCCACTGGAGCAAACTATCCACAACTCCAGACTTCGCAACTGCAATGCATTTCCCCAACCAAGTACCGGTTTAGTTAGCACTATACAGCTTATCGAACCTTAAATAAAAGTGAGCTATTTTAACTAACCTTTCTTCAAAAAATCTTCTGAAAGTTCACATTTAGAGCCAAAACTGCTCTGACGAAGTTTCAAAGTTTCCTTGGTTTGAGAATCAAAAGCAGGGTTGTCAATAAGAGCATTGACAAAAAGCCACAAATGGTTCTTCACATTATGTACTTTGACATTAGCATTCTTGTTCTTCTTATTTACAGCATTCATTACATAATTAGATATCTGATTGGTAACATAGTCGACATGAGTTCCGCCCTTGATCGTAGCTATCCCATTAACAAAGCTGACCTGGAAAGTACATCGTAAATAATGAACATCATTAAAATATAAACAACTGTAAAAATCTAACAAAAAAAATTAATGGTAGGAAAAAAATACCTGCTGAAACTGCCCTTCACTGATACTCACACAGACTTCCCATCTAGGATTAACCTTCTCAGGAATCCTGGAAACATATACATCTTTAAATGAGAAAAAAAAACACTTCAATTGGCACATGCAACGAACACATAATGGAATTAATAATACAGACCTTGGGAGAGGTTCGGTCTTTGTTTTAGAGGCAGCAGTAAGGTATAGGTTGACATAATCAAGAAATGATTTCACTGGAATGCGTTTCCCATTCAACTCAAGCTTCACAGTCTTGCCAAGACAGCCAGCCAAATCAAACACCCTCTTCCTCATCAATGCAACCACATCATCTTCCAAGTGAGTCATATTAAATTTGGCTAAGTCGGGCTTAAAAGTAACCTTTGTCCAATTCTCACCCTCCTTGCATTTAGTTATAGCAGGCTTAGTTTTATTTCCCATGTTGTTTGTAAATACCTACAAGTTGACGCAGCAGTTTGAATAAATACTAATTCAGCTGTTCGAATTGCATCATGTTAATCCAATACCAAACCTTAACATTAGAATTGAGAGTATATATTTAGTTTACAATACCAAAAACATTCAACCAAAATTATACATTTAATTTCTTTTCATTAGCTAAGCATATTTTAAACCACATCCTCATTAGAACAAATTCATTATTATTTTCAACTGTAACAATAAACAGACAACAGCAAACCCTCAAATCAATAATCCAATAGGAAAAAACCTGGAAAATGTTGAAATGTCAAAGCTTGGAAAATTGGTTCAAGTTAGGCACCTAATATTGCAATATCAAAATTAGGTGCAATAATGTCAAAATTATGTGCAATAATGTTTGAAAATTAAATGGGTAAATTATAAACTTTAGTCACTAAACTTTAGGGTATTTATAAGATTAGTCCTTAAGTTTCAACTATAAATACCCTAGCTCATTTAGCTTCAAAACCATCCCAAAGCATTCTAGCTTTCTTCCAATACTAGAGAGATTTTAGAGAGTTTCTTGAGAGTTGTTTTCTCCTTTTTATCTAGAGAGAATTATCATTGTTTTCTCCTTGGTAGATCGAGAGAGGTTGTAATTCCTATTTTCTCATAGTGAAATTCTTTTACCGTAGCCGTGGTTTTTACCCTAAATTTTAGGGGTTTTCCACGTTTGTGTCTCTTTTATCTTCATTTTTATTTTCTCAAATTATCAGTTGCGATTTTGCTCTATCCGATAGCCGTCTTCCGCAACAATTGGTATCTGAGCTAGATTAGAGTGTGTAATATCTGCTTATTGTCTTTGTGGTTGCCACCAAAAGGTGGATCCTCCAACATAAGAAAGTAAGAAGGTATTAACCATTCTTTGAAGGTTCCAGAGAACTATTCACGATAGTGAAATAGTGAGAGCTATCCGTAATAAAAGCTATGGCAACGAAATTTGATATTGAAAAATTTAATGGGAGAAATTTATCATTGTGGAAATTGAAGATGAAGGTCATCCTGAGGAAAGACGGATGTCTAGCAGCTATCAGTGAAAGGCCGGTAGATTTTACAGATGACAACAAATGGATCGAAATGGACGGGAATGCTATGGCAAACTTTCATCTAGCATTAGCAGATGAAGTATTATCAAGCATCGAGGAGAAGAAGACAACTAAGGAGATATGGGATCATCTCATCAAATTGTACGAGGCCACATCGCTGCACAATAAAATTTTCCTTAAGAGGAAATTGTACACTCTCCGTATGCCAGAATCTACTTAAGTGACGGAGCACTTAAATACACTGAACACCTTATTTTCTCATCTTACATCCTTAAGCTGTAAAATAGGAGAACAAGAACGTGCTGAACTTCTACTTCAAAGTTACCGGATTCGTACGATCAACTCATCATCAACTTGACAAACAGTAATGTCACCAGTCTAGTCTTCGATGACTTTGCAGCTGCTATTCTACAAGAAGAAAATCGGTGCAAGAACAAGGAAGACAGACAAGTAAATCTGCAACAAGCAGAAGCGTTGACAACGATGAGAGGGAGATCAACAGAACGTGGCCAAAGCAGCAGTCATAAACATGATAGATCGAAGTTGAGGAGCAAGAAGAATTTAAAGTGCTGCCACTGTGGAAAAAATGGTCACTTGAAGAAGGATTGTTGGAGTCTAAATAAAAACTCCAATCCACAAGGCAATACCGCAAACACTTCAGATGATGGAGATCCTCTATGCTGTGAAGCGTCAACCACCGTGGAAGGCAGAAAAAGATTTGCAGATATATGGCTCATTGATTCGTAAGCGACATATCACATGACCTCAAGAAGAGAATGGTTTCATCATTATGAACCTGTCTCAGGAGGATCTGTGTATAGTTGCAATGATCATGCCTTAGAGATCGTTGGTATGGGAACCATCAAATTGAAGATGTATGATGGAACAATTAAAGTTGTTCGAGATGTACGGCACGTGAAAGGCTTGAAGAAAAATTTATTATCCTACGGATTGTTGGATAATAATGCAAGCAAGATTGAGACACGGAAAGGAATCATGAAGGTGTTCCGTGGAGCGCTTGTGGTGATAAAAGGCGAAAATATAGCAGCAAACTTGTACATGCTGAAGGGAGAGACTTTGCTAGAAGCAGAAGCCTCTGTTGTCTCATGTAGTTCAGATTCGGCAATGCTATGGCATCAGAAACTTGGACAAATGTCAGAACAAGGAATGAAAGTCCTTGTGGAGCAAAAGCTACTTCCATGCTTAACAAAGGTATCACTTCCTTTGTGTGAGCATTGCATAACAAGTAAGCAACACCGGTTGAAATTCAACACATCAAATTCTAGAGGCAAAATTGTTCTAGAATTGGTTCACTCTGACGTATGGCAAGCACCAGTTACATCCCTAGGCGGAGCAAAATACTTTGTCTCATTTATTGATGACTACTCCATGAGATGTTGGGTGTACCCTATTAAGAAGAAGTCAGACATTTTTTCAACTTTCAAAAACTTCAAAGCGCGGGTGGAACGTGATTCTGGAAATAAGATCAAGTGCTTCAGAACAGATAATGGAGGAGAATACACAAGCGAAGAATTTGATGACTTTTACAGGAAAGAAGGCATCAAAAGACAGTTCATAGTGGCGAACACTTCTCAACAAAATGGAGTGGCAGAGCGGATGAACAGAACCTTGTTAGAAAGAACAAGAGCAATGTTGAGGGACGCAGGCCTAGAAAAATCATTCTGGGCAGAAGCAGTCAATACTGCCTGTTATTTGGTGAATCGAGCTCCATCAACTGCAATAGAGCTGAAGACACCAATGGAGATGTGGACTGGTAAACCAGTTGATTATTCAAACCTCCATGTATTTGGAAGTATTGTGTACGTGATGTACAACGCCCAAGAAATTTCAAAGCTGGATCCAAAATCCAGAAAATGCAAATTCTTGGGGTATGCTGATGGAGTAAATGGGTATCTCTTGTGGGATCCCACTGCCCGCAAAGTGATCATTAGCAGGGATGTTATCTTTGTAGAAGATAAACTACAAAGAAAAGAAGATGATGATAGCGCTGAAAAGTCAGAGACTACTCAGATACATGTGGAAAAAGAGTTTGAAGAAGGAGATTCTTCTGAAGCAGAACCAGCACATGATGAACAAGAACCAGAGAGTTCTGAAGCTCCAACAACTCATCAATCAGATCGTGTGAGAAGACGTCCCAATTGGCACTCATATTATGTTATAGAAGGTAATATTGCATACTGCCTTTTAACAGAGGACGGTGAGCCATCAACATACCAGGAGGCAATAAACAGCTCAGATACTTCACTATGGATGATGGCGATGCAAGAAGAAATCGAAACCCTTCATAAAAATAATACATGGGACCTTGTGCCACTACCACAAAGAAGAAAGCCAATTGGTAACAAATGGGTTTTCAAAATCAAGCGAAATGGTGACGATCAAGTGGAGAGGTATCGTGCAAGACTGGTGGTCAAAGGATATGCTCAGAAAGAAGGTATTGATTTCAATGAAATTTTTTCTCCTGTGGTTCGACTAACAACAGTTCGAGTAGTCTTGGCAATGTGTGCTACATTGAATTTACATCTGGAACAGCTAGATGTTAAAACAGCTTTTCTTCATGGAAATCTTGAAGAAGAGATTTATATGCTCCAGCCTGAAGGTTTTGAAGAAGACGAAAAGAAGAACTTGGTTTGCAGGTTGAACAAATCTTTGTACGGTCTAAAGCAGGCGCCGAGGTGTTGGTATAAGAGATTTGATTCCTTCATTATGTGCCTTGGATACAACAGACTTAATGCAGACCCTTGTGCTTATTTCAAGAGGTCTGGTGATAATGATTTTGTTATATTGCTGTTGTATGTGGATGACATGTTGGTTGCAGGACCCAGCAAAGATCATATTGAAGAATTGAAGGCACAACTGGCTAGGGAATTTGAAATGAAGGACTTGGGATCAGCAAACAAGATTCTAGGGATGCAAATTCACCGAGACAGAAGTAATAGGAAGATTTGGCTTTCACAAAAGAATTACTTGAAGAAGATCTTGTCACGATTCAACATGCAAGATTGTAAGCCAATTTCTACCCCTCTTCCTATTAACTTCAAATTATCCTCCAGTATGAGTCCTAGCAGTGAAGAAGAGAGGATGGAGATGTCTCGAGTACCGTATGCATCAGCAGTGAGAAGTTTAATGTTCGCTATGATATGCACAAGACCACACATTGCACAAGCAATGGGAGTGGTTAGTCGGTACATGGCGAATCCAGGCAAAGAGCATTGGAATATAGTAAAGAGGATCCTAAGATACATCAAAGGGACCTCAAATGTTGCATTATGTTACGGAGGATCAAACTTACTAATTAATGGGTATGTAGATTCTGACTAAACAGGGGATTTGGATAAAAGCAAATCTACTATAGGATATGTGTTCAAAGTTGCTGGTGGAGCTGTAAGCTGGGTTTCAAAATTGCAGCCAGTTGTGGCTATGTCCACAACAAAGGCAGAATATGTAGCAGCTACACAAGCCAGTAAAGAAGCAATTTGGTTGAAGATGCTATTGGAGGAGCTTGGGCACAATCAAGAGTATGTCTCTCTGTTTTGTGACAGTCAAAGCGCCTTGCATCTAGCAAGGAATCTAGCATTTCATTCAAGGACTAAGCACATACGAGTTCAGTACCATTTCATTCGTGAAAAGGTGGAAGAAGGAACGGTAGATATACAGAAGATCCATACCAAAGACAACATAGCAGATTTCACGACGAATGCGATCAACGCTGATAAATTTACCTGGTGTCGATCCTCTTGTGGCCTGTCAGAGACGTAAGCAACATGATGGTACAAGGTAGAAAGAATGGTGTGAAGATATGATTGTTCCAATCAAATCTTCAAGTGGGAGATTGTTGAAATGTCAAAGCTTGGAAAATTGGTTCAAGTTAGGCACCTAATATTGCAATATCAAAATTAGGTGCAATAATGTTTGAAAAGTAAATGGGTAAATTATAAACTTTAGTCACTAAACTTTAGGGTATTTATAAGATTAGTCCTTAAGTTTCAACTATAAATACCCTAGCTCATTTAGCTTCAAAACCATCCCAAAGCATTCTAGCTTTCTTCCAATACTAGAGAGATTTTAGAGAGTTTCTTGAGAGTTGTTTTCTCCTTTTTATCTAGAGAGAATTATCATTGTTTTCTCCTTGGTAGATCGAGAGAGGTTGTAATTCCTATTTTCTCATAGTGAAATTCTTCTACCGTTGCCGTGGTTTTTACCCTAAATTTTAGGGGTTTTCCACGTAAATTTTGTGTCTCTTTTAACTTCATTTTTATTTTCTCAAATTATCAGTTGCGATTTTGCTCTATCCGATAGCCGTCTTCCGCAACAGAAAATTGGACATAAGCTGAGAATATTTTAAATCATAAACTCGTTCATATAACATTTTCCCTCTTTTTGCTTTACTAGGCAGCAACCCAGAAACATTCGATCATAAGAAAACCGTATCCTCATTAAAGCGGAACTTTTATTTCAAAATCCTGAACCAGAGGAAGTAACTGGACAATAATGAAGCTTCGAGCCTAACTAGACACACATTTTCCCTCTTTTTTGCTTCCGAGCGAGGAACCCAGGAAAAATCGAAAATAAAGAAAACAATACCTGTTATACTTCTTCTGCCGTTTTTCATCAGCGGTCTCAATAACAAACTCTGTTGAAAATATATTGGTAAGCTTCGCACCTTACCCATTTCTCCCACCCGTCGTCTTCTTATGATTATCGTCGTAATTACTGCTAGTTAACAAGTGGCCAAAGATCAACTCCGACACATAAACCTTTTCCTCCTGATGAATCTCGACCGGTACTCCATCTCCATTGTTGTAAACGGATATCACGTTCTGCTCCGCGTCGATGACCACTTTAATGCAATCCATAGACGGATCCTGCTGCTTGTTGTCGGCGGCATTCACTAAGATCTCGTCGAAGATCTTGTAAAGTCCCGGAACGTATTTGATTTCGCGGTGAATCATTTCGTCGTTCTCGTAAACCCATAGCTTTTGGGTGTGTTGCTCGATCGAACCGATGTAGGTGTCCGGCCGTAGGAGGATGTGCTCTAATTGGGTTTTCTTTTGGTAAGTCTCTTTTATGGTCGTCGAGGCGTTGATGTTTGCGTTGTTGCCGCTTTGCAGCGGAAGCTTTGAATCGTCAACCATGGCGGATTTGGGATTCGTTTAGGGTTGCTTTTTTGGGGAGAAAACGAAAGGGGTTTTCACAGTTAGAGATGATCGGAGATTAACGTTAGCTGTGTTGTTAATTAAGTGAAGAACAGCGGAATTTTAAATTCGAACAAATGGGCGGGAATTTTGAAAATTTGGATACAAAAACGGAAAAGCTTCTCATCGTTACGTATCACAATTGGTGTGATGATCGGACGGTTGTTGTTTGTTCTCTGTGGGTTCGATTTTCACCCTAATACATATTGATCTATAAAAATACGAGGAATTAATCATACATTTTACTACCCATTTTTTCTACTTTTATGTTCTTTTACTAAAATTTCCAAAAATAAATTATTAATTAATTTTTTGGTTTACTCTTATTTTAATCATTTTATTTTAAATTATTAAAAAAATCATGCTATGATAATTATATGCATTTAGGGACGGCGAATATCCCTCCTTAATACTTATATATATATAAATTTTTTATATCCATCACATATCCACCACTTGTGATGGATCACATATCTACCACTTGTGATGGGTACACTTTATAAATTCATATTCACCTACACGATTATATTTTTAAATTTATCAGCACTTAAATTTATACTACTCATACCCACTAAATTTGTCTGTCAAACAGTCACTAATATTAAACATAAGGGTAAACTATACATTCAATACTTAAACTTTTATTTTTTTCAAAATCATACCTAACGTTTAGTTTTTATTTCATTTTAGTGCCCATGTTAAAAATTTAACGTTAAATTTTGAAATAAATTGAAACTTTAGGTATTAAAAATGACAAAACTGATAGTTTATATACAAAACGCATTAAGCTTTTAAGCGTGGAGTACTAAAATGAAATAAAAACTAAACATTAGATATGATTTTGAAAAAATAGAAAGTTTAGGTGCTAAAATAAACCAAAACTGATAATTTAGGTACTAAATACATAATTTACCCTAAACATAATTAATATAATTATTATTTCAAGCATTAGAACTCAAAATAACAATAACTATAATCATAAACCCCCATTTACTAATATATATATATATATATATATATATATATATATATATATATATATATATATATATAATAGAAACACAAGAGAGGAAGGGGACTCGTTGTCTCAATAACAACACTATCGCGAAGATTTAATCATATCAATTGTCATCAACAAATTAATCTCATAATTATTCAAAATTCATAATGATGGGTGGATAGTACACATGTGAATATACAGCAGGCGGATGTGAGATGTAGATATACGGTAAGTAAGGTTTCAAATTCATCATCTACTTGATATCCATTATGGGTATGACTTTTAACATTCACAATTGTTCACTATCTAAGGTTATAAATGAGACAAGATATATCGTGAGTTGCTCATGAATAACTTGATCAAAGTTTGATAAATACTCAACTTGAATAGACTCGACTCAAGCTTGAGCTCGACTCGAGTTCTCAACGAGCCGAAACGACCTACATGATACTTAACTCGAAAAGCTTGCGAGCAACTCGAAAAAGTAATATATTAAAAAAATTAAAAAAATTAAATTATTAACAATATTAACATTTATGTCTTGATTTTTTTAATATAGTATAAGATTTTCATGTACTTATCGTTCAGGTTCAGGTTCGAGTCTAAGTTTGAGCTTCAACCAAGTTAAGTTTAAGATTTTTTAAGCTTTTTCAAGATTCAATTCATGGTTTCAAATTTGAGTTAGGATTGAAATTTTTAGGGTCGCAAAATTTTTAGCCAACTCGAGCTCCATTTAAAATTTTCAAATCAAATCGAACTCAATAATATTTGAACTCTACTCAGCTCGTTTACAACCCTACCACTACCTATCAAACTCATAGCCATACCTCCATCAGCTAGAAGTAAGATAATAGAAAGAAAATAGGTTTTTTGAGATGTGTTTCAGAATGAGGTAATGCCTGATATTTACAAGGGTAAATTACATGTTTAGTACAAAATTATTAGTTTTAATCTATTTTAGTACCTAAACTATTATTTTTTAAAAATCATATATAACATTATTTTTCGTTTTATTTTAGTACCTCACTATTAAAAACTTCTGCATTTTTATGGGTAAATTACATCATTCGTCACTAAATTATCTTCTCACTCCGATTTTAGTACTAAAGTTTAAAATTTTTCAATTTTATTACAAAACTTTCAAGTTGCTCCTATTTTAATCACTCTAATTTATTTTATTAATAAATTTTGTGACATGAAAGTTTTCATTATTATTTTATTAATATATAATTAAAAAAAGAATTTTGAAATTAGAGTGATTAAATTAGGAGTAATTTGAAAGTTAAATAATTAAATTAAAAAAATAAACTTTAATGACCAAAATAGGAGCGAGAAGATAGTTGAGTGATGAATGATGCAATTTACCCATAAAAATTGCCAATGTGCAAATCACCCGTTAAATTTTTAATGGTGGGGTACTAAAAAGAAACAAAAACTAAATGTTAGGTACGATTTAAAAAAATAAAAGTTTAGGTATTGAAAAGAGCCAAAATTAATAGTTTCTGTATTAAATGCGTAGTTTACCTGTTTATAATATCAATCATAACACAAAAGGGGGAAATAACTAAATAGAGTAAAATACACCATTGCTCACTGAATTTTACTTCTCTCCTATTTTACTCATTGTAATTTCAATTCTTCTAATTTACTCATTGAACTTTCAATTGCTTTTGTTTTGATTACTCTGAATTGTTTTACTATTATTTTTGTATGATATGACATTTTTTATTATTATTTAACATAAAAGTAATTTTATTATTATCTCAAAGGTTGGCGGTGGTCGTCGGTGGGAAGTGATTATTTTAAGTCATTTTAAATTTAATAATAATAAAATATTATTATATTATTTACTTCAAATTATTTTTATATTAAATAACAAAAAAAATGTCAAGTCATACAAAAAATAATAAGAAAATAATCCAGAGTGACCAAAACAGAAGCAATTCTAAAGTTCAATGAGTAAATTAGAACAATTGAAAATACAGTGAGTAAAATAGGAAAGAGAGTAACGTTGAATAAAGAATGATATAATTTACCCAACTAAACATTATAGGGACAAATTAATCAAAATTAATTAAAATATTTGTAATGTGAAGAAGATACGAGAATTACCATATGTGTTCCTCGACTACATTATAAATTTCATTTTGAAATAAAATTATAATATTCTTTGATAAAAGATCAAGAAATCCTTTCGAAATAAGTTCCATTTACAACAATCAAGATAAAGATGTAAATAGATGGAACACCTCATATTATATATACGTTTATGTCTAATATTGCATATTTGATGTATGGCATGCTATAAGCACCTCATATTATATATGTTTGGTTGGTTCACATCACTCGTTGTATATAATTTTAGTCGGATAGTTGTTTAATAATAAGCTTGCAAAGCTTAATCTTTGAATTTATTTTCTTTTATTGCAGATCAATAGATTTGAGTAAGGTCAACGAGTTGATATCGATTCAGAATTTCAGTAATTAATTTTGTACAATACAATATTTATCTATTTTTAAGAGTATGTATATCATAATATCCTTTATAATTGAGTTTGCTACTCTTGATATTTCAAATTTTATTTTTTATATTGTTATATCTTTAAACTCTAAATTTGGTATAATTATTTTACGCTTATTTTTAATATTAGTATTATTTTAGATTTTATTTATTATTTAACTTTAAAACGTTTTATCCAAAAAATTTATGATTCAAAATAGATTGCTTGTAATTTCAAAAGAAAACAAAAAGGTGAGACTTGAAAATTAAGGGTTTTGCGAAAATTTTAATATCCCAAATTTTAGTTAGTGATCAAAATGAAAATTTTGAAAGTTTTATGGCCAATGTATAAACTTTTGAAAAGCTTAGGGACCAAAGTATAATTTTCAGAAGTTATGCATTTTGAACCCATAAAAGAATAGTTTACCCAAGAATGATATTTTCGTGGGTTTCATATTTTTTATCTGGAATTTGTATTAAAAACTATAAGGTGATAAGGTCTAGGAAAAATTCGGATAATCGGATCGAATCCAATTTTTGAGATATTTTGAAGGATGATAAAGTAAGGTTAATTATTTCATTTCCATATTTTAAATTAGTAGAATTTAACATGGATCATTGGATTTAAGTTGATTTTCCATATTAAATCAGGACCGTTAGATGAAAAATGACAAGATTTTAATTTTAGAAAACTACAAGGGTAAAGTTGGAAGTTAATAATGTGTTGGTTTATTTTGAACATGGTTATTTACATGAGATTTTCAAGGGTAAAATGGTCATTTGGCTTTAAATGAATTTTTAATTCATTTTGATATATAAACATGACAAATGGCTAGCATTAAAAAAAGTTTCAAGAACTCTCTCAAAGTTTACAGCTATTGTGGGGGTATTTGGAGCATTAAAGTAAATTTTTAAATTTTATTTTTAAGCTTTTTTTTAAGTTGGATTTAAGGTTTAGACAAATTCAATTTTATTCTCCATTAAATTCTTTACAATTTGGTAACATTTGATCATGGTTTTGGTTAGTATATGTTATGGAATTTGAGAAGAGAGAATTTAGGGTTTAAGGATTCAATTGAATTGATGATGAATTATGAAACATTAAATGATGGTTTATTCTTTTATATTTGATTAAAGTTGAAAACCAGTTGTTAAAGCCGTGAAAGCCTATTTGGCTTTTATGGAAAAGTTTACGATTTGAGATGAAAATTTATGTTTGGTTGTGTAGGATTTAGTGTTTATAAAGTCTTAAAGTGTTGATTGAAGTAAAAATCTAAGGATTTACTATTGGGGAAACTAATTTGGCAATTAAAAAAAAAGGATTGATGCGTCAATGTTGTTTGATGAGGAAATTGATATTGAATTGATTGATAATGCTTAAAAATGATGTTTGGAAGTAATTAAGTCTAAAGTGACCCTTCATATTTGGCCTATTGAAGATAAATTATGGAAATTTTTTATTAAGATT